TGAGACAGGGTTTCTCTGTGGCTTTGCAGGCTGTCCTGGAACTAGCTCTTGTAGACCAGGCTGGCCTCAAACTCACAGAGATCCTCCTGCCTCTGCCTCCCAAGTGCTGGGACTAAAGCCATACACCATCACACCTGGCCATTTTTAATTACAAAGAAATTAATGGCTCATGTTCATTAGTGGCTCAGTGGGTATACTGCTTGCCTCATAAGCATAAGACCTGAGTTCAGATTCCATGCACTAATGTGGAAGCCGTGTGTGGCAACACTGTTACCCTAAAGCTGGGGGCTCCTATGGGGGCATGGGAAAAGACAGGCAGAACCTGGAATTCACTGGTCAGCCAGTCTAGCCAAAATTGAGCTCCACATTCAGTGAGAGGTCCCGTCTTAAAACTGAGGTGAAGGGTCAGATAGCAGAGGCCCTTAATCCCAGCACTCAGGAGGCCCAGATCTACAGAGGGAGTTCCCTGTTTTAAAGAAAACAAAACAAAAACAAGAAAGTGACTAGTCAAAGATGAGAGACATGGTAAGGAAGAAGACTGTCCACCTGTGGGATCTGACAGTAAACAGTATCCAAATTGAACTGAATTAGAGGACCCCTACCCATGTCTGCCTCTGAATTGATTCCTCTTGCCCACATTGGTGACAGTAGTGCTCTGTGCTATGAAAATGCAGAAGAAGCCAAGCTGGGCTTTTCTATCCATGATGGAAGAGAATATTTAGGGGAAGGATGAGACAGTCTTCAGGAGTCACTATGGAACAGTACTGAAAGCAGCAGAAGAAATGTTATATACTATGATGTGCAGTGGCTTCACTTGGTTGTTAAATATACGAACTAGGAAAAAAAATACATTGTGTTGAAGAAGGAAACAAAAACTGCTATATTAGTAGACTTTCAAGGCATATTGATTCCAAAATCAAAATGGTTCTGTCTTTGGCATTGTGGTTTATTAACAGGCATGGAGATTTTTATGCACATATGACGTTATCTGGACTAGGTATTTCCTGAAGGGTAGTTTTGCCTTTTAACTTTGCTTTGTCAGAGCTTAAACCCATCTCCTTTTTTTTTTCCTCCATTTTGGGCATCAGAGCCTGGGGCTCAATGGTAGTATATGCCTGATGTCCCAGCACTCAGAAGACAGGCAGGAGGATCTGAGGTTCAAGATCATCCTCAGCCACATAGTGCATTGGAGGTGGGCTTGGGCTATATAAGACTTGTTGTAGAACAAAACAAAACAAGATTTAAGATTTATTTTTTATGTATGTAGTGTTCTGCCAGCATGTATGCCTGCAGGCCAGAAGAGGGCACCAGATCTTATCACAGGTGGTTGTGAGCCACCATGTAGTTGCTGGGAAGTGAACTCAAGGCCTCTGGAAGAGCAGCCAGTGCTTTTAACCTCTGAGCCATCTCTCCAGCCCCGTAAAACAAAAGATTATTTTAAAGCTAAAAGAATAATCCTCAGATACTGGTTAAGAGCATTGACTGCTTCTCTAGAAGGCTCAGGTTTTGAGTCCCAGCACCCACATCTCCACACACTACCTCTATCTCCAGCCCAGGGGATCCAGTGTTCTCTTCTGGTTTCTGTGAACACCATACACAAAAGTGGTGCATAGACACACATTCAGGCAACATGTCCAAACACATAAAATAAAAAGTAAAGAAAACTTGTAGCATCTGTAACAAGATCACAGTCTTTTAAAATGAAAAACATGTAGGATGGAAAAAATTGACACTCATTATTTGCTTATTTATGATGATTGCTCCATTGCTTTCCTGTGTTTATTTTTTAAGGTGACAAACCTGGATGACAGTAACTGGGCAGCTGCATTCTCATCACAGCGTTTGGGCTTCTGCACAAACGTGGAGCCCCACAGTGTAACTGAGGACGTAAACCTGAGTGCTGTTATGTTACGTGAAGATGACCCTGGAGAGGCTGGTAATGGCTTTGAGATTTAAGTAGCTTGTTACTTCCACATCAAGGAAGCCTTTTCCTGGACTTAATCAAAATATGTTTTGTTGTTGTTGTGGTTTTTTGCTGGGCAGAGTAGTACAGTCCTATAATCCGGCACTTAGGAGGCAAAGGCAGGTGGATCTTTGTGTATTTGAGACTAGCCTAGTCTGAGTAGCAATTTCCTGCCAGCCAGCCTGGGCTACATAGCGGGACTCTGTCTCAACAGCAGGTGTGTGGGGGTGGGGTGGGGGCGAATATATCAAACTTAGGAAGTAACAACTGCTAGTAAAAATGGAGAAATCTAAACATTCTGAGGACCTTGGGCACAATAGCATAGTCCTGTAATCCCAGCACTCCAGGGGTAGAGGCAGGAGGATTCTTTTTGTTTGTTTGTTTTTTGGGTTTCTTTTTTGTTTGTTTGTTTGTTTTTGTTTTTGTTATATTTTGTTGTTGTTGTTTTCCAAGACAGGGTTTCTCTGGAGGCAGGAGGATTCTTATGTGTAGAGTGGTGGTTACCAGGGGGTGAGGGAAATATGGACTGGATTAATTAGTTACTGATTAATTAGTTACAGAGTTAAATTTTACAACATAAAGAGTTCTGTGGCTAGGTGTTGGTACAGTTAACACCACAATATGGATGTACCTAAGGCCACTGAACAGCACACTTAAAAATTGTTAAAAATTTGTAGAATCTTTTGTTGTTTGTTTTGTTTTTGAGACACAATTATCTCTGTGTAGCCCTGACTATCCTGGAATTCAATAGACCAGGCCTTGAACCCAGACATCTGCCTGCCTCTGCCTCCCAAGTGCTGGGACTAAAGACAGGCCCCACCATCGCCCTTCAGCAAGTCACTAGTTAGTAGAAATACAGTTGGGTTGGAGGGAGGGAAAGGACTTGTAGCTATTTTTGTGTGTGTGTGTGTGTGTGTGTGTGTGTGTGTGTGTGTGTGTGTGTTTTTGGGGGGGCGTTGGGTTTTCTAGACAGGGTTTCTCTGTGTAGCTTTGGAGCCTATCCTGGCACTCACTCAGTAGACCAGGCTAGCCTCGAACTCACAGAGATCTGCCTGCCTCTGCCTCCGGAGTGCTGGGATTAAAGGTGTAGGCTACCAATTCCCGGCTATTTTTGTGTTTTTAAAGCATTAGAATTTCTTTAAGTATGTGGCTTATCCTTTGTCCCTTTTTGTCTCCTGTGTTTTAGCATCCATGAGTATGTTCTCTGATTTCCTGCAGTCTTTCTTGAAGCACTCTTCGACCACAGTTTTTGATCTTGTTGAAGAGTATGAAAATATCTGTGGTAGTCAGGTAATTAATTCCCTCCATGGTCAGTAATTTCAGTGCTGTGTGTTCATCTGCTAATTCCCATTCTGTGCTGAGGTTGCAGGGGAACTGGTTAGAGGACCTCTGCTTTTTACATATTCCGAGGCTGTAGGAGCCTTATTTGGAGGAAAAGAGGAATCCACTCTTTAAAAAGGAAAGTCTGAGACTAGAGAGAGAGGACAGCTCAATGAGAAAAAGGCTGACCGTAGTCATGGATGCCTGAGCTCAAATCCCCACCACTTGGTGGCACATAGTTGTGGAGAGATCCAGGAAGCTTGCTGATGAGCAAGTGTAGCCAAAAGAGCAGCTCCAGGCTCAGTGAAAGACTGTTCTCACTAAATAAGATCGAGACCAATAAAGGGACCTGATAACACAACAACCTTAGGCCTCTACTCTCTCTCTCTCTCTCTCTCTCTCTCTCTCTCTCTCTCTCTTTCTCTCACTCTCTCACTCTCACTCAGCACTCAGCACTCACATACAAGCACAGCTGCATATATACAGGTGAGTTCAATGTAGACCTGCACACACAGCAAAAGATAAAGTCCACAATGTACAAAGAACTCTTCAGATTCAACCATAGGAAACAAAACAACTAGATTAATAATGGTCAAAAGATGGAGATAGGCAGCTAAGCAAAGAAGATCCATAGACACCAGAAAGGGCTCAGATCACCAAATGAGAGAAAGGAGGAACTTTGAAGTTTTGTTTAGAAACAACACCTTTTGGTACCAATCATTAAAAAAACCCTTTTTTGGGGGGCGGGGGGGGGGGTCTTGAGACAGGGTTTCTCTGTTTTGGAGCCTGTCCTGGAGCTCGCTGGGTAGACCAGGCTGGCCTCGAACTCACAGTGATCCGCCTGTCTCTGCCTCCCAAGTATTGGGATTAAAGGCGTGCACCACCAACACCCAAATCTTTTTTCTTGCTTTGTTATATGTCATAAATTTTTCAGGTTTAATTTTAAGGTAGTCATTGTTACTGGTTTATATACTTTTGTAAAGTATAAATTTAACTTATCCTCTGGGTAGATATGTGGAGAGAAAAAAATAGATACCTGTGGTTACTATTGTTGAATCTGAAATTTAAAGACTATTTAGCTGGGTAGTGGTGGCACATGCCTTTAATCCCAGCTCTTGGGAAGCAGAAGTAAGCAGATCTCAGTGAGTTCGAAGCCAGTCTGATCTACAAAAGTGAGTTCCAGGACAGCTAGGGCTTTTACACAGAGAAACCTTGTCTCAAGGGAAGGGGGATGGAGGGAGGGAGGGATATTAAGCTCATATATGTGTGTGTGTGTGTGTGTGTATGTATATATATATTTATATATATTCACATAAACATACCTTCCTCAAATTATCGTGAGAATGTACATTGCATTCTATTAAAAAACCTAATAGGTGGGCTGGAAAGATGGCTCAGAGGTTAAGAGCACCGACTGCTCTTCCAGAGGTCCTGAGTTCAATTCCCAGCAACCACATGATGGCTCCCAACCATCCATAATGAGATCTGGTGCCCTGTTCTGGCCTGCAGGGACACATGCAGACAGAACACTGTATACATAATAAATAAATTTTTAAAAAACAAGAAAGAAAGAAAAAAGTAGTTTAAAAAACAAACCTAATAGGTAGGCAAGAAACAATATGTGTTTGTATATATACTACACAAGATTCCTGCTAGTACTCTATTATTGAACACAAAGATACTAGTACCTGGGAATTATAGAAAAACAGCCTCTTTACATCTGTGTTTTTAATTTAGGTGAATATGCTGAGTAAAATAGTGAGCCGAGCGACGCCTGGACTGCAGAAGTTTTCAAAGACAGCCAGTATGCTCTGGCTTCTTCAACAGGAGATGGTCACATGGAGGTTGCTTGCCTCTTTGTATAGGTAAAGTTGTGTAGAACTCATGAGTGAGATAAACATGAGGTAATAAGCCAGTTAGGCAAATTAACTTACACTTTAGTGAGAGGTTTAGAATAGGTTTTGCTAATCTTGAGATTTATGATTTTTGTGTCAAGAGTGGTTATGAGAAGAGGAACCTATCGTGTCATAAAGCAGGTAGCTACAAATAAATAGTCTAATAAACACCTGTAATCCCAGGAGGCTAAAGTAGAAGGGTTGGAAGCTTGAGGCTTGGTGGTTTGGTTTTTATTATGAAATACTGAAAGAAAGCCATGATTAATTTTGTCATATGTCCTTACCAGGTGCCATTAAAGGATACAATGATAACTACAGTTCTGTTCAGGTGTCAAGATTAGACTAATCACATATTTACTAGTATATCTTACATTAAATTAAGTTAGAATGCAGAACAGCTTAAAAGGTGATTTCATATATTTTTGTGAAATAAAGCTTTTTCATTTTGTATTATTTTCCAGAGACAGAATACAGTCTTCCTTAGAAGAGGAAAATATGTTTGCAGTTGCTGTGAGTTTTCTGTTAATTTTTTTCCATTACAAGTGCTTATGGTTGGGTGATTGTTTTTCAACCATCCATTTGCATTTTCCCATTTAAAAAAATTTACAAGTCCATAAAGACACTTAAAGTAATCAACTATTTATGTTTGTGGGTAAAGGTAAAAGTTCTTTATTTAACAAAATAACTTGGTTTGTGTCCTATCACATGTTTTTTGTGCATCTTTATACATACACACATAATCAAACTACTCATGTATAGTTTGTTTTTTGTTTGTTTGTTTGTTTTTTTGCTTTGGTTTTTCGAGACAGGGTTTCTCTGTGTAGCTTTGGAGCCTATCCTGGCACTCGCTCTGTAGACCAGGCTGACCTCAAACTCACAGAGATCTGCCTGCCTCTGCCTTCCGAGTTGGTTTGGTTTTTTGTTTTGCTTTTTTGAGACAGGGTGTGGTTTTATAGTCCAGATGGCCTCAAATGTTAGATTATGGGTGTGTACCAGGACACCATATAGCTTTGCATTGTTTTAATTTTGGTTAGTTCTTTATTATTGATTTTTTTGAGGTGGTCTTCTGAAGTATAAACTGGCATAGAACTGTGTGTGGGGCCTTTAACCATCTTTCTGTCTGTGGCTCCAGAACTGCTGGGATTATAAAGGAGCAGTGTAGCACCATCCAGACCCAGAGCCTTACATATGCTAGGCAAGGCTGCATCCCAGCCCACAGGTTTTTTGTTTTGCTTTTTAAAAATTCATTAATAGTCAATTTGTATGTCAGTTAAAACTTCATATGAGATTATCTTTTTTTCTGTCCCCCAACCTCTTATTTTTATTTGTATGTGAAGATATAAATGTATCATTACTGTTTTAGATTATTTTGCTTCTCTATTTTAGAGGAAAATACCTCGTTTTAATATCTAAGTTTTTGGTCATTTGTAAGAGGGAAGTTTTTTTGTTTACTGCTAGTTGGAATGGGGACTAGATACAGTCAGGGGTTTGCTAATAGTGGGAAGGGGACTGGATATAGTCACTGTTTTTAGTGGGCGATTAGTGTCTATAACAACTTTAATTTGTGGCAGAATATTATTTTAAGGTGTGTTAACTTTTGTTTATGCTGTGGAACATTTATTTAATGATGTAAAGATGTGTGACTTCTGTTTATGCTGCATTTGTTTAACTCTGTGAAGCTGTGATTCTTTGTCTATCTAAAACATCTGGTGGTCCTAATAGAGAACTGAATGGGCAATAGAGAGGCCAGAGCAAGGATAGGAGGGGCTGGCAGGCAGAGAGGATAAATTAGAGAACCGAGGAGGAGGAGCAAGGAAACCAAGAGAAGGAGAGGAGGAAGTCAGGTGCCAGCCACCCAGCCTGCCATGGAGTAAGAAGGAAAGTAAGATATAAAGAAGTAAGAAAGACAAAAGCCCAGAGGGAAAAGGTAGATGGAATAATTTAAGATAAGAAATGCTGACTAGAAACAAGCCAAGCAAAGGCATGGCATTCATAACTAAGAATATGACTCCATGTGTGATTTACTTGGGAGCTCAGTGGTGGTCCCTCAAAGAGTAAAAAGAGTAAAACATCCCACTACATTAATTTATTGTCATATGGGTTGTAATGAGATAGGGTCAGTTACTGTAGCCCAGGCTACAGATTTTAAAAATTATTTTATCATTTTAATGTGCTTTTGCCTTCCTGTGCACTACATGTGTGCCTGGATTCTAAATCTTAAAGCAAGTATTCTGCTCATGAGGCAGAGTATCGCTAGTTTAACCAAGTAGTCTATTACATTGGTGTCATCATTTTCTTTTATTAAAATGTTATTATGTATTTGCCTGCGTGTCTGTGTACCACATGTGTGTCTGGTGCCTGCTGAGGTCTGAAGAGGGTGTTGGATCCCCTGGAACTGGAGTTAGAATTGCTTGTGGGTGCTGGGAATTGAACCCCAGTCCTCTGTAAGAGCAGCCAGTGCTCTCACTGCTGAAGCATCTCTCCAGCCTCTGATTTTATTCAAGCAGGCATTACTTGTAGCCTAGGCTTCATACGCTGATCCTCCTGCCTCAGCATCCTAAATATTGGGGCTGCAGGTGTGTATCCCTGACCTGGCTGTAAAGTCAGTTTCAATAACCTTGGGTAGCATTTAGGTTTTATTACTGTCTTAAACGAAAATACTTTAAAGTTCTGAAATACTCATTTTCTGGTATGGTGACATTGCTACAACCAGCTCTCTATATAACTCAGGGAGGGGCTGTTTTGTTTCAGAACAGGTCTTTCTTGTAAGCCTGGATGGCCTTGAATTCTTGTGATGCCTCCTGCTTTTGCCTCCTGGCTGCTGAGGTCGTAGGTGTACAGCAAAATGACTGGCAACCTTTTTCTTTCCATATATGTGTAGCTAGGGCTGCTACACAGAGAAACCCTGTTTCGAAAAACCAATAAACAAACAAAATAATTTTAAAGATTCATACAAAGTCAGGTGTTAATCCCAGCACTCCTGAGACAGAGACAGTTGGGACTCTGTGAGTTTGAGTCCAGCCTGGTCTACACAGTTTCAGGACAACCAGGGCTACACAGAGAGACCCTGCCTAATAAAAGAAAAAGAAAGCCCAGTAAATGCAGGTTGCTAAATGCACTTATTTGTAACTGCTTTTTGTTTTGAAGTCTTTCAAACTCTCTTTTCTCCCCTCCCTTTCATTGTTTTCTGTCTCAGGCTATTAACGCCAGTGAGAAGACGGTTGTGGAAGCTCTATTTCAGAGAGACTCACTGGTTCGACAGAGTCAGGTATGGCTGGAGTTCAGTTCTTTCTTTAAAGAAACATGGAAGAAAGGCAAATGACATACAAAGTCCTGCAGTTTTTTTGTTTTGTTTTGTTTTTTTGCGGTGTGGGGAGACATGTTTTGTTTTTCGAGACAGGGTTTCTCTGTAGCTTTGGAACCTGTCCTGGAACTCGCTCTGTAGACCAGGCTGGTCTCTCACAGAGATCCACTTGCCTCTGCCTCCAAAGTTCTGGGACCAAAGACATGCACCATCACCACCTGGCAATAGTTTTGTTTAACTTACCTCTTTTCTTATTTTCTTTCTACTTGATTTTTTTATGTAATTAAAAGAATTAATGGATGATGTTCTTCAACTTTTAAGTAACAACCTTTGTGTTCCCAAGACAGACTATTAAAAATAGCATTATTCCTATAGGAGATGCTGTTGTTGTATGCTGTGCTTGTTTATCCTAAAATGTAAAAATAGTGGTTGGGGGAAAGTTGTTATTTAATATCAGAAACTTAGGTTAAGGGTGGAAGCACTATTAAAAATAAAATAGATTTTAGAATTAAAATGATCTTTATCTGTTTCTTTCCTAGCTGGTGGTAGATTGGTTAGAAAGTATTGCCAAAGATGAAATTGGAGATTTTTCTGATAATATTGAGTTTTATGCAAAATCAGTATATTGGTAAGTAACAAAGCTTTTATTTTTAAGAATGTTCTTTAAGCCAGATGTGGTGACACATGCCTTTAAACCCTAGGGAGGCAGAAGTGGGTGGATTGCTGAGTTCAAGTCAAGCCTGGTCTATAGGGGGGAGTTCCAGGACAGCCAGAGGAATACACAGAAACCCTGTCTCAAAAAAAAAAAAAAAACTTTATTTTTTGACAATTTCATTCATGCATTGTGAATTGGAGGAAATAAGACCTTTGGGAAAATTATGAATTAAGCTTAATGAATAACCCAGGCATAATGGCACATTAATCCCAGCACTTGGGAAGAAAAGGCAGGTGAATTCTCTGAGATTGAGGCCAGCCTGCTGTATAGAGCGAGTTCCAGGACAGCCAGGACTACATAATGAGACCCTGTCTTGGGGAAATTAATGCATACAAGATGATAATGAATCCATCTTTGGGCAGACCAGGCCTCTAAGAAGGTAATAAGCAGCAGGAGACTTAAGAAATAGAAGAAACCTGGTCTGGTGTTGTCACTTGTAATCCTAGCTACTTGGGAGGCTCAAACAAAGGCGTCACCTGAGCCCCAGAGTTCAAGGCCAACCTGACCAGCCTAGCAGATGCTTGTCCAGAAGGAGGAGGGAAACAGCACAAAAGAAGGAAAGAGATCAGGGGACCACAGCAGGAAAAAGTCTGACTACACGGTTCTGAGTAAGAACAGAGCACAACACTCCTGAGAAAGTATTGAAGTGTTTGCACGAGGAGAAGGCAGGTGTGGATTAAGACTTGATTTGAGCCTGTAGTAGCAGCATTGCAGGAGGTTGAAGCAGAGGACACCGAGTTCAGGACAGACTGGGCTACAAGTGAAATCCTCAGAAACAGAAACAAAGAAGAAATAGTTGAGTAGTTGGTTTTTCTGAAAGAGAAATTGAGGGAGGGTGAATTCCCTGATAAAGACTTGTACAACTTTTCCCATGAGCTATTCTCCATTTCTTAAACTGGGGAACTGGATTGTGGGAAACTACAGAAAAACATATGTTCAAAAAGGTTAACCTTCTTACATTATACCAACCATAAATTTAACATAGATTATAGTTCTGAGTTTTGAAGTAATCCAGAATGTGTTAGATGGATAACTGAAAGCTGTTACTCTAATTTGGGATTTAGCAAATGTTTCAAGAAAAAATTGACTTCATCAAAATTGAAAACATCATTTAAAGACACAATAGATGTGGTAGTGTACACCTTTCATTCCAGTATTTGGGAGGCAGTGGCAGAGTCAGGCAGATTTTCTGAGTTCAAGGCTGGCTCCAGGCCAGTCAAGGCTACATAAAAGACCCTGTCTCAAAAGGGGGGTGGGGCACTATAAAGAAAAATAAGTGGGGATGTGGAGAGATAGCTCGGTGATTAAGAACAAGAGCACATGTGCTCTTTCAGAACACCTGAGTTCTGTTATCAGTACCCATGTTGGATGATGTCTTAGAGTTTCTGCTACTGTGAAGAGACACCATGACCACAGAAAGGCTTAGAAAAGAAAGCATTTAATTAAGGTAGCAGCTTATAGTTTTAGAGGTTTAGTTCATTATCAGTATGGCAGCTGGGAGTGTGGCGGTGTGCAGGCAGACATGGTGCTGAAGTAGCTGAGAATTGTACCTCTTAATCTGAAGGTAACAGGAAGTGGTCTGATATATTGTGATGGGAGATGGCATTCTGTAAATGTTTCTCTTATTGGTTGATGAATAAAGCACTGTTGGCCAATAGGGAAGCAAGATAGGTGGGTTTAGGAGGTGACGAGGATTCTGGGAATTGTAGGCCCAGTGAGACTTGATGTAGACTGCAATGGAGTCAGAGGCCCAGACCTTTCTCTGGTAAGATAAAACCATGTTGAAATACTTAGATTTATAGAAATGGGTAAGTGATCAGGACATAGCTAGCCAATAAGAAGCCATGCCAACAGCCAACTGTTTCATAATTAATATAAGTCTTGTGTGTTTATTTGGGGGCTCTGAGGAGGCTGGGGACCTGGGCAGGAACTCTCACAATACTGAGTGTGGCTTGAGCATGTATGAGACCCTAAAGTCCTCCTCCACAATGCCATACCCACTCCAACAAGCCACACCTACTGATAGTGCCACTCCCTTTTGGGGGTCATTTTCTTTCAAATCACCATAGATGACTCACAATCACCTGCATTCCAGCTCCAAGGGGCTCTGATACATATGTATAAAATAAAAAGTGAGAACCTGTAGGCATGGTGGCAAATACCTTAAGTCCCAGCAACCGGGGGCAAGTAAGTCCCAGTTCTAGGCCAGCTCATCTAATAATGAGTTCCAGGACTACATAGATAGCACAGTAAAAGGCAAAAAACTTAAACATATGCCTCATAAGAGCAGACTTATGATTGGCCAGCAAGGCATGAAAACAAGTTCATCTTTTCTGTGTTAAGGACTTTGTACATTTTTCTATATTTGTTGTCTTTCTTTTTCCTTGTTTTGGATACATCGGTGTACTTGTGGGAGGCAGGGGAGTGGGGTTAGTTGTTGTTACTTACAAAAAAAAAAAGCATTGAGATTGTCCCCTTCAGGAGCCTGCTATTTCTTCTTTCAGGGAAAATACCCTCCATACCTTAAAACAGCGGCAGCTGCTGCCTTACATAGGAAGTGTCCGGCCTCTTGTCACAGAATTGGTAAGTTCCTGGTTAGGGTGACTAGTGTTGCCACAAACACCATGACCAAAGCAACTCTGGGAGAATGGGTTTATTTGATCCATGACACTGTTCATCACCATAAGAAGTCAGGACAGGAACTCAAGCAGGGCAGGAACCTGGAGGCAGGAGCTGGTACAGAAGCCATGGAGGTTGCTGTTACTGGCTTTCTCATCATGGCTTTGCTCAGCCTGCTTTCTTATAGAACCCAGGATCACCAGCCCAGGGATGGCACCACCCACCATATGAAACTCATCATGATTGTTTGTGTTACTTGCTGCTAAAGACTGAATGTTCAATATTAATGCTAAATGTTCAAAAACATGCAAATGTGGTAAGAATCATAAGTTTAGAAGTTTATGGCATTTTTTTGTTTTTAAAGATTTATTTTTAATTATTCATATAAGTGTCCGAGTGGGGATACTTGTTAGTGCAGGTGCCTGCAGAGACCAGAAGGACATTGGGTCTCTTGGAGTTACAGGCAGTTAAGAGCTACCTAGCCTAGGTGCTGGGAACCAAACTTAGGTCTCTTGCAAGAACAGAACTCCTGAATCAACTGGCTAGCCATCTCTCCGGCTCAATTTTTTGGTTTTTTTTTTGTTTTTCCCTTGAGACAGGATCCTTGTGTGGCTCAGGCCAGCTTTGAATTTGAAGATCCCACTGCACCCCCCTGAGTGCCCTTGTTTATTAGTAACTAGTATGTAGTTGGGTTTGCTGTTTTATTTTTTGAAGGGGTGGGTATTGTATTTGTTTCACTGTGTTTTGTTTTACACTGAGGATTGAACCCACGTATATACTGGGTATCTGCTCTACCACTGAGCTATGCCTCTATCTCCATCTGTGCTATCTGTACTCCATCTGGGAGTAATCACAGGGAGGACTTGGTCATCACAGGGAGGACTTAGTAAGTTCTCTTGCCCTGTGTTCTCAGAAATTTCATGCTTTCTAGTCAGACTAGAGTCCTTCCATCCTTCCTTCATGTTTGTCCATGCTCTAGGTCTCTTTTAAGTACAGCAACAAAATAAGCTCAGAGAGGGCAGCGTTAACTGGCTGGGCTAGGATAGTGGTATTCCATGTTCGGCTCACTAGGCATGCACCATGTTGGACCAACAATATCTGTTCAGGGTGTGGTGGGACAGCACACAAATAGGCCAACCCTTACGACACTTCCTTCTCTTTATTAACTAGATTTTAAAGGAATTTGTTTTTGTATGTAAATACCATATATGTCATGATGGTTTTTAAAATATGTAGGTTATATAGTGCCAGGGCTTTGTAGCTTATATACTCAGCAGTAAAGCCCTGAGTTTGACCCCTAGCACTGTATGCATGACTGACTGAGGTATAAACAAATGGATAAACAAAATTTTAAGTGTATGTAGGTTCCAAATATCAACAGTTAATGGTGCATTTTTTTTTTTTTTTATAGGATCCTGATGCTCCTATTAGACAGAAAATGCCACTTGATGACCTGGATAGAGAAGATGAAGTTAGATTACTCAAGTATCTTTTCACTCTCATTCGAGCTGGAATGACAGAAGAGGTAAGTGATGTGATACCCTGCTTGTTCAGGTTCCATGTACCATAGACCCAAAGTTGGAAGAATCTTTATGACCCCAGCTATGCTTCTCCTGTGCTGTGATCCCATCCAGTGTGCTGTGTCTGTTGCCTTGGGGCATTTACGATAAAGCACATTATCCGTGAACCCTCAAAGAGAAGTTCACTCTGGTTTCCAGAACTCTTAGCTGATTCTTCAGCAAGCCAAGCTTTGCTGTTCCATTGCACTGTAGACTCTAGTTATAGCCTCCTTATTTCTTCTCATTTTTAAGCATGACACTGGGTAATGCTCCTCACCTACTTAAGGCTACATTGACTCTGCCATTTTTTATGGGCTGTGTTGAATTTAAGGAAATGCCAGTGAACTAAATGAGTGATCGCACTATTCTCATTTTATTTATTTATTTATTTATTTTTGATTTTTCTAGGTAGGTTTCTCTGTATAGCCCTGGCTATTGTGGAATTCACTCTGTAGATCAAGCTGGCCTGAACTCAGAGATCCCCTGCCTCTGCCTCCTAAGTGCTTGGATTAAAGATGTACACCACTACTGCCCATCTTATAGGTTCTTTATAATTTTTTATTCCACAAATCCAGGGTCATCAAATCCTTTTATTTTTAGTAAAAATCTATGTTAATGAGATAGTGGCATGGTACCCTAGTAGCAATCCTAAAATGAAGAAAGAAAGGAATAATTAGAAAGATAAGGGGCTTGGTATATAGCACAGTTGGTAAAGTGCTTGCCTCACAAGCATGAAGTCCTGGGTTTGATCCCTAGCCCTGCCAAAACAAAAAAGGAACAGCTCTAGACAGATACAGGTTTGTGGGTAAAGTGGAATGCCATTACCAGTTGCCTTCATCCTCTGTGACATTGGTGCCACTTAGTAGCTAATACTGGGTTTGCTTTGCTACTTAGTACGGTACTTTTCGGTTCTGCGCCAATGATGTCACTGCCCCTTTTTGTTTCCTAAGGCACAACGGCTCTGCAAACGTTGTGGGCAAGCATGGCGAGCTGCGACACTGGAAGGCTGGAAACTCTATCATGACCCTAATGTTAATGGAGGTATGTTGGGCTTCATTCTGAGTGGGGTGTTGGAGGTATTTAGCTCTGTGTGCCAGTCTTAGTGAATGGTAGCCTTTCTTTGGAGAAGTGATTGAAGTATTTCATTTTAAATTGTAAATTTCCTTTACTATTTCATAGGTACAGAGCTAGAGCCTGTTGAAGGGAATCCATACAGACGGATTTGGAAGATTAGTTGCTGGAGAATGGCTGAAGATGTAAGATAATGAAACACTCATTGAGACCCCTTTCACCCAGTCCACTGAGGAGCTATGAAGCATTCAGTGTAACACATGACTAAAGTCCTCGTATTGAGAAGCAATAGACCTGGTGATGTAGCAAACTTTTCAGACACCAGGTACTAAAAATTAACATTTCTGTGATGCAGAAGCATACGGGACCAACCACATGAGCTTAGAGAAGCCTGGGCTAAGCTCAAAGCTGTCTTCTCAGAGGACATCCCTGTTTAACTCTTTAGAACTTAATAGATGTGGGCTGTTGGGAGTGGAAACTCAAGGAAGGAATTGAAGGTAAATCCATAGGTTGGGAAGCTAAAGGATGGGAGGTCTGTGAAGTTAGACAGGAAGCTCATAAAGGAAGTACCAGTTCTGTTATGACATGATGAACACATTCCTAAAGTCACTACAGAGCTCAGGAAATTGCAGTTATGGGAGAGTAGTGGGGTTACAAGGAAATATTTTAAAATGTCATCAGTGGTGTATGAAATGTGAGTAAGAGTGAGAGCCGAATGGCTCAGCAGATAAGTGTAGGGAGTCACCCTCACCCCGCCCAATAGTCCTGGGGCAGGTACCAGGTGGACCTGGGGACTCGCCCATAAGGGCGGGGTGAAGGAAAGCCGGAATGACGTAAAGGGGCTTCTTAAGGGACTGCACGTGGGGACGGGGGCCCTCTCTTTGTTCTGGCCGCGCTGGCTGGGTTCTTAACCTAGCTCTGGCCTGTGTTTCACCCGGCTGTGCTTTGAAATAAAGAGACCTTAATCCAATAGATAAGGGCATGTGTTGCATAGGCCCAACGGTCTGTATGGTGCCTGGAACCCACCTAGAAGGAGGAGAGGACTGACAGAGTCTCCTCTGACCTCCACCCACACATGCACTGTGGCATGTGCACCTACACACACACACACACACACACACACTTTCCCCCTCCCCCACTTCCCCTCCCCCTCTCTCCTCCTCTCCCTCTCCACACAGTAATGAAAACTAGTTTTTTTAGAGGCAGTGCAAGTGGTAACAGAGTTTTGGAAAAAGACCTGGAATTTGCTTGTTGAATTGGGTGTCAGAAAGCTCAGAGCAAGAGTGTTTAAAGAGTAGCATGGCCGTGCAGACTAAACTTGATAGAACTGAAGTCACAGGAAGTAATGTCAGCACAGCACAGTTATCACTAAGGGCCTGCCTGTGATGGCAGTGATTGGAGTAGAAAGGGGAGTCTCCTAAGTGTCCTGTTTGATGACAAGACATCTTGAAAGGGCACTGACCAAGCCCTTGAAATAAAATAGAATAAAGTGCTTAGGAATCGCTGTAAAGTGACACCAGGCCTTGGTCTTGTCCCCAGGCCAGCATCAGGAGTGTTGATGCTGAGAAACTGTAGCGCAAATACCTTACCTAGGTTCTGTGTAGATCAACATTTTATAAATAATCCAAATACACATGGGTCTTGGCCTTGCTTTCAGTTGAGATTTAAATGTTTGATTTTTTTTTTCTCCTTCCTAAAGATTTTGGCGTTATTTTCTTAAAGTCCTTCCTTCCTGCTCCCCTTCATATGTCACTGAAGCTTAGTGACCAGGTGACCAGGTTCATTCTGGAAGAATCATGAAGAAAACTAACACGAAAGGAAAAGTAACAATCTCAAATCCTTTCATTCATCATTTAGGAACTTTTCAATAAATATGAACGAGCGATTTACGCAGCACTGAGTGGGAACCTCAAGCAGGTAAGTAGTGCTCACCCTTCCCTACGAGTAAAGCCAAGTACTGAAACATTCTCTTAGTTCTGTGTGGCTTGGAGTGCTTTCTGAAAGCAGCCATGCTGGAGATCATGGCTGGAGGTCAAAAAGCAGGGCAGTGCCGAAGGTGACAACCTGCTTGTTTTCGCACTTCCCACCTACGCATGGTTTTTAAATGTTTGTTTCTGTTTGGATTTTTTGATGCTTTGCTCATTTTTATGTTACTTTGCTTGATACATAACTTAGTCTGGCCTCACGCTTGCTTTTTTGCTGTTTGGTTTTGTTTGGGTTTTTGAGACTAGGGTCTTGCTTTCTAGACCAGGCCAACCTTGAATTTATGCTCCTTCTGCCTCAGCTCCTCAGTGCTGGGGTTATATAGGCTTGCCTCTGGCTCTTCCATGATGATTACATAAATGAAGTCAGACTTTATTCCTAAAGAAGAATTGCAGCACCCATTTACTGATGGTTCCTATTGTTATTCTTTTGTTTAAAAAGAAGAAAAGAGAAATGCTGAGACATGAGACATATTGACTATAAGTTTATTATAAGGCCCGGCAGAATGAGGAGACAAAGAAGAGGAACAGGGGTAAATGGTTGACCGCCATGACCGGTCGCCATAGAGAGACAGAGCGAGCGCATAGGTGGGAGAGAGTAGAAAGGAAGCTGAGAGGAAACAGCGGAGAAACAGAGAGGTAAATGGGCAGGGACCTGTCTTTTAAAGGGGTCCTCTGCACCTGCGTGCAGACTTAGTTCCCATGGAACCTTGGGCTGACCAGGGTACTGCCTGTTCCACCAGGTAACAGGGACAGGCCAGCATAATGCCTGAACCTTTCACCTATACCTAGCGATCCATCTAGAAATGTACTGCTGAGGCACAGTGCCTGCTTGGACGTAGCCCATCAATGTGTCTCTCGCATTTCAACAGCTGTTCCAAGGGATGCTATAATAATTTGAAATACCCTTTGATATTAGCATGCAATGTCAATTGTGACTATGAATTTAGTATGGAAAAAGTCTTAATCATACAGACTTGTTAAAAATTCTAGTTGGCAGCTGGAAAGATGGCTCAGCAGTTAAGAGCACTGACTGCTTTTCCAGAGGTCCTGAGTTCAATTCCTAGCAATCACATGGTGGCTCACAACCATCCATAATGAGATCTAGTGCCCTCTTCTGGCGTGCAGACATAAATACAGGCAGAACACTGTGTACATAATAAGTAAATCTTCTTTTAAAAAATCTAGTTTGGGAGAGAGATTGTTATTTGGTGTAATATTTTTAACCCCACAGTGTTTCTGTTGTTATAAAAGATGGTTTTGCCAGGTGGTGGTGGCTCATGCCTCTAATCCTAGGCTCATGCCTCTAATCCTAGCAATTGAGAGGCAGAGGCAGGCCAGTCTCTGAGTTCGAGACCAGCCTAGTCTACAAGAGTGAGTTCCAGGACAGCCTCCAAAGCTACAGAGAAACCCTGTCTCGAAACCTCCCTCCCCCCCCCAAAAAAAGTCTTTATCGGTGAATATTATTGGTTTCCTTTTCTTTTTTTGTTGACTGTATCTGTGTTTCTGTTTTGGAATGGATGAAAAGCTTCTTCCTGTCTGTGACACTTGGGAAGACACAGTGTGGGCCTACTTCCGGGTGATGGTGGACAGCCTGGTAGAACAGGAGATTCGGACGTCAGTAATGACCCTGGATGAAACGGAAGAACTCCCTAGAGAGTACATGGAAGCGAAGTGAGTGTGGCAGCTTGGGGTACGTCGGGTGGTTACACTGGCACTTGGGCTCTGTTGTGCAGCACTCCTCATGTTACCATTTCTGCCCCCTTTTGTTTCTTCTCTTTTGAAGTTGGACCTTAGAAAAGGTTTTTGAAGAACTTCAAGCCACTGATAAAAAGGTAAATGTTAAAATAACCCTGTTACATATAGCAAATGGAAATTAATGTTAAGTAGTTATGCACTATAGCTAAAAGGGGGAAAATGTGGAATTCTCATCTCTTCTTCATATTTTCTTATCAAAATAAGAGACCTTTAAAATAATGTTTTTTGGATAGGGCCTGGTGGTCCATGTTGTTACCCTAGCACTCAGAAGACTGAGACAGGATACCATAAGTTCGAGGAATGGCTGAGCTACATACTGAAACTTCCTTAGGGTTTTTTTTCCCCTAGTAACTAAAGCATATGTATTTTCAATAATAAAACAATCCTAAAATGTGCCAGCAATACCTATGTAACTAATGCCTTCCAACCCTGTTGTCCTTATTTCCTCAGATAGTAAACCATACCAACACTTATATCCTGTATCTTTCTCCATGGCCTTTCTAATAAGTGTACGTGATGTAGATACTGCAGTACAGTGTCAGGGGCTTTTCAGATCGCATCACTCCATAGTTTGTCTTTCCAGTTAGTGGTAATCTTTCCAAGTTAATTGCTATATTTTAGCCAACTTTTTAATTTTTATTTTTTGTTTTGTTTGTTTTTAAGAGAGATAAGGTCTTACTGAATAGCTCTAACTGCCTGGCACTTAGAATTAAGCCCAGACTGGCCTCAGACTCCTGATAATCCTCCTGTCTCACACTTCCAGGTGCTGGAATTTCAGGTGTGTGCCATCATACCTGATTTTAATGTTCTCTTTATTTTAAAAAAAAATATGCTTTTTCTTTAGGTTAGCATTCAAGGTAGTGGATTTATCGTAGTACCTTCATATACATGTCATTATACTTTGTTCTTAGTTGTTCTTCCACTGTTCTTTTTGATAGCTGCATAACATTTTGTAGAGTTAGGTGTAGAGATTTTTTTATTTTGTTTCCCACTAGAAGATACTCAGGTTGGTTCTGGTGCTGTAGATTGTCTTATGGAGGATAGTGTTCAGTTTTGGGTTCGTGTGCCATGGATATATTCTAAAGGCAGCATCCTTCTCATGTTCATTTTTAGCTTCATATATCATTTTCAGTGTAGCAATGAATACATACATCCTTCAAAATGAACACAGAAGACTTATGACAATGTAAAACTTTTTCAGAGAGTTCTGGAAGAGAATCAAGAACATTACCATGTAGTTCAGAAATTCCTTATCCTGGGAGACCTGGATGGTAAGATGCAGCTTTATTTTACTTTGCATGAGTTCTTCCTTTCTGGGTGGTCCTTTTTGTAACTGTTGTGGAAACAGTACACATAACTCACTATATCTTTTAGTCATCCACCGCTTCAAGTGTAACCATATTTATTTGTCACTATAAGGCAAAATCTGAGCCAAACCGGGTCTATCAAGTTGGAGAGTGTCCCATGATGGGTGTTGGCAATGAGACACCAAGACACCATGGTTGTCCTTGGGATGCTTGTTTTTCTCTGATTGTGTTCTCACTGTCAAACTTTTGTTTGACGGTTTATAGGTTTGATGGATGAATTTAGCAAGTGGCTTTCCAAGAGCAGAAGCAATCTACCCGGACACCTCCTCCGCTTCATGACTCACCTTGTTTTGTTTTTCCGCTCCCTGGGATTGCAGACCAAAGTAAGTAAACATGTACAGGGTTTCCTGCCCTCCATGCTTTCGGTTAGCCATCTGTCATCAGGACCATCTCAGGTGGTCTCCTACCGAGAACTCATTGTCAGTAACTTGTTAGGTTCTATGGTCACAGAATGCTGATGTTTGCCTGATTTTGAAGAATTTGGTCCTCATTGCCAACTAGCTAAGCTAATAGAACCAAAATTAATTCTGTGAGAATTAAAATCCTTTCTGTTTTTCATTTTTCTAACTGACAACATTTTGGAGGGAGTATATTCAACACCATAGTAACAGAACAATTGACAAGCTTGGGCTTTGGAGTTAAGAGTCTTGAATTCAGATCCTTACTCAGTAACTTCTACCTCTGTGATAGAACTCCTTCCTTCCTCTGTAAAGTGAGGACAGTATCTACCCTGGGTATCTAAGAACTCCTTTCTTCCCTATAAAATGTGGATAATATCTACCCTAGGTGCCTAAGAACTTCTTCCTTCCTCTGTAAAGAGAGGACAGTATCTACCCTGGGTATATAAGATCTCCTTCTTTACTCTGTAAAACATGGTCAGTATCTACCCTAAGTATGTAAGAATTTCCTTACTCTATAAAATGTGGGCAGTGTCTACCCACAAAGAGTTATGGTGGGGTGGGGGGGGCAGTGACCTGTCTCAATAGATAAAAGCATTTGCCACTAAGTTATGTGACTTGAGTTCAAATGGAGCAAGAGAATTGACCCCCTACAAGTTGTATATAAACATACACAATAAATGTTTAAAAAGAGGGTTTTTGGTTTGGTTTGGGTTTTTTTTGTGGTGGGGAGAGGTTGGTTTTTTGAGTCAGGGTTTCTCTGTGTAGCCCTGACTGACCTCGAACTCAGAGATCCACCTGCCTCTGTCTCCCACCCCCCAAGTGCTGGGATTAAAGGCAAGTGCCACCACTGCCCAGCAGTTGCTTTGTTTTGTTTAGGTGAAAAGAGTTGTGTGAAATGAAGCAATACATGAGCTTTGGTAAGCATTTAGCTAGGGTAGTTACCACTTAGTGTAAATATTAAATTCCTTTAACAATTTCAAAATAGAATTTTTATTAGAAATCATATTATTGTACCTATAAGTAGTTGTGTTAATAACTGAATTGTTTTTTCCTATGAAGGAAGAAGTTTCCATTGAAGTTTTAAAGACATATATACAGGTAAGCTTTTCGAATCTACAATTTGATTTTTTTTTATTTTAATGAAAACAAAAATAAAATGGTATTGTTTCAATTTGTGTATAAGTGTTTTTGCCTGCATGTTTGTATGTGCGCAATAGAGATCAGAAGAGGGCACTGGAGTAATGGATGGATGTGTCCTACCATTTAAGTGCTGGGAACCAAACCTGGGTCCTCTACAAGAGCAATAAGTGGTCTTAACTGCAGAGCTATCTCACCAGCCCCCAAATGATACAACTATAATACCATATGGTCTGGAAGCCATCAGACTCCATAGAAATCTTTGAATTCTTGTAGATACATTTCTAGAATTTCTAAGTGTTAACAGCCAGAAGTACATATCTATGAGTCTTTCCTAAATATATTTGAAATTTTGAAGCCAACTATTTTCAAAGCACTGCTAACTTTGATTTTGTGTGTGTGTGTCTGTGTTTCTTAGCTTTTAATAAGTGAGAAGCACACAAACCTCATCGCATTTTATACTTGTCATTTGCCTCAAGACCTTGCTGTCACCCAGTATGCACTGTTTTTGGAAGGTGTTACAGAATTTGAGCAACGGCAACAGTGCCTGGAGCTGGCTAAGGAAGCAGGTAAAAAGTAGTTAAGAATTTCATCTATTGCCAGGCAGTGAGTGGTGGCTCAGGCCTTTAATCCCAGAACTTGGAGAGGCAGAGGCAGGAGGATCTCTGTGAATTCAAGGCCAGCCCGTTCTACAGACTGAGTACTAGGACATGCTCAGAAGCTACAGAGAGAATCCTTATTTTGAGGAAGGAAGGAAGGAAGGAAGGAAGGAAGGAAGGAAGGAAGGAAGGAAGGAAGGAAGGAAGGGAAGGAAGGGAAGGAAGCATCTGCTACTTCTTTTTAGGTATATATTGTATAAAATAATGAGGTTTTTTCTTTATATATTTTTTTCTGCAGATTTTTTTTATTTGAATTAGAAACAAGATTGTTTTACATGACAATCCCAGTTCCCTTTCCCCCTCCTCCCCTGCCACCACCCCCCCCCCCAAACTAAAGCCAGCTGTCAGTCTGGGGAGCAAGAGTTCCCTGATGTTCAGGTTAGTTGTTTCTGTGGGTTTCGCCATCCTGGTCTGGACTCCTTTTCAGGACCCCTTTCACTCTTCCTTCTCTGAATCTGGGTTCCAGTTCAGTTCGGTGATTAGTTGTGGGTATCTGCTTAAAATAATGAGTTTTGTTATGACATTTTTCAAATGATACTTGCAAGTATTTTGATCATTTTTATCCCTATGTCTATTCACATTAAAAAAAATGTGTTTGTGTATAAAGAACAAGAAGTAGGGGATTTGCACATGCTAGGATATGAACATGCCACAGCACATGTGTGAGGTCAGAGAACCACCTTAGGCATTGGTTCCTCATCTCCACCCTGTTTTGAGACAGGGTCTGTAGTTTTCCTGCTGCATAAGCCAGGCTAGCTGGCACCAGGGCTTCTGGGATACTCTGCGGCAGCCTCCCTCCTTCCCATAGAAACACTGAATCTACTGCATCCCTCTTTTTACCAGGCTGAGTCTGGCCGTCTTAACTTGGGTTCTTGTTCTTTATTGTGCAATATCCATTCCGCTCCCTGATAGGCCTTCGGGCTCACTTTCGTTTGGCTTTTGTCTTAATATTCTTCTTTTGAGGAATAAAAGCAGTAGAAATCTCAGTGAAATTCTTTTGGAAAATGAAAACAACTTGTGTAAAAATTTTGGTTTTGGTTTTTAGCGAAAAATTCTCACTGTGTAGCCCAAGTTGGCCTGGAACTTGCCCCAGGCTAGCCTCAGATTCAATGATCCTCCTGACTCATCTACCAAGTGCTGGCATTACAGACATAAGTCACCACAGCCAGTCTAAAATATTTTCAAATGATATTTTCTGTAGTGTTTTCCCAAGTGTATGTATTTAAAATGAATTTTTGGCAGTGCATACGAGTTCAGGTTACATGATGGTCATGTGGAGAGCAGAAGCCAGCCTGCAGTTGCTTTCTTTCTACCATGTGGGCCCTGGGATTTGAACTGGGCTCAATAGACTTGGTGGCAAGCACCTTTATATGCTGAACCGTCTCACTAGCCCTATCTATGTATTACATCTTTAAGAAGTTGTTCTAGGGTTTGGCGATGTAACTTAGTGGCAGAATGCTTATCTAACATCTGTAAAGCCATCCATTCAATCCTCAATGCCAAAAATATGAAAAAGAATTATTCCAGATTTACCAAGTTGTTGTAACTATTTAGAGAATATTCACATTAATAATTACTCTTTGGTTTTTGTTTTTTCATTTTCAAACATTCCTTAGATTTGGATGTTGCAACAATAACAAAAACTGTAGTTGAGAATATTCGAAAGAAAGATAATGGTGAATTTAGTCACCATGACCTGGCTCCATCCCTAGATACTGGCACGACTGAGGTAATTTGGGTGAGGGGGGTTGAGTTTCATGTAACTTATAAACTATCTTATTCCTTGCTGAACTCCTTCTTTAAAATACACTGAGTTTTGTTTGTTTGAGTGGGGGGGGGGGTTGGTTCAAGACAGGGTTTCTTGGAACTCGTGAACTCACAGAAATCTGCCTGCCTCTGCCTCCTGACTGCTGGAATTAAAGGCATGCCCTTCTTTTTAAAAAACTGTATGTCACTATAAAGGGCTTAAAATTTTTTCATATATTTATTTTCTTTTTTTAATATATTTTATGTGCATGGGTGTTTTGCATGCGTGCATGCATGCATGCATGTATATCTGGTGTTCAAGGAGGCCAGAAGAAGGTGCTGAATCCTTTGGAACTAGAGTTGCAGACAGTTGTGAGTCAATATGTAAATTCTGAGAATTGAACCCATGACCACTGGAAGAGTAGTCAGTGCCCTTAGCCACTGAGCTATCTTTCTGGCCACCAAGGTCTTTTAAATGGCAAAAGTTGGCAGCAATTTTAAGGTTTTATTAAAACAATAAATTATGGTCAAGAAGGAGTCTCTTATTGAGCAGACCTGTGTTGGCTTTTTGCTCGTCAGGTTCTGGCAGATGCTTTAAAAGCTGCTGACTTCTGTCTTTAGGAAGAAAGGTGAAATCTCAGAAGGGCAACAGCCTGGGGCTGTGGCTGTGGCTCAGTGCTTGCCTAGCATTTGTGAGCCCCAGAGTTATTTCCTGCGTCCCATATCCAATGAGTTAGGTTGGTGAGACATACAGTGAATAATTCCACATAGTCTAGTGAGTTCTTTCAATAATTGAGTGGAGAGCTGTTAAGTAGAACAGAGGAACATTGGCTTCTTTCATAATTTTATATCATGAGGGGAAAATGTTTCCATTTAGAGTGTGTTGTAACTTCCACTCATTTGCAAGATAGCTTTGAAATAAATGGGTTTTCTCTGCTTCCGATGACCAGGAGGACCGTGTAAAGGTGGATGTGATTGACTGGCTGGTATTCGACCCAGCACAGAGGGCAGAAGCACTGAAGCAGGGCAACGCCATCATGAGAAAGTTCTTAGGTGGGTTGTCCTCTCACATTTTATCAGATCCATATGTTCTTTTCTTTTAACTTTTGTTTTTGCAGAACATTTCATATATTTCATAAATAAATGAGAAGGAGGGACACTTGAGATAGCTTACATTAGTACCAGGGAGCAGGGTGCTCTTGGGCAATCAGTTGCCTCCACCTGTGTACCCTCAGTGATCCAGTGATCCATTGGAAAGCCATCTGAATTGACTACAGCATTAAGTAGTCATCTGTTCGTTCAGTAACTGTTTATTGGGGCTGAAGAGCTGGCTCATAGTTGAGAGCACTTGCTACTCTTGAAGAGGAACCAAGTTCAGTTCCCACCACCCACATGGCAGCTCACAACCATCCATAGTTCAGGTCCAGGGGATCTTCTGGCTCCTGTGAGTACCAGGTCCACACATGATGCACATAATTCATGTAGGCAGAACACTCATATGTGTAAACACTGAGTAACCTGATAATGACAGGCCTATGCTAATTATCTCTAACATACTCAGTCTTTAATACTAAAGTCACAGTTTTGACCTTTGCCCATTATCGGTGACAGGTGCTTGTTGTTACTACATCTATTTAGTATTTGTTTTTGAGTGGGGAGTATGTGTGTACCATGGTGCATGTGTGGAGGTCAGAGGACAGTTTACTCTTCTTACAACTTCTCTCATTCCACCATGTTGGGCTTCTCAATGAGCATCTTTACCTGCTGAGACGTCCCCTCAGCTAGGCCCTCACTCTTACAAAGCACAAGTTGCATGGTCTCCTGGGTCAGTAGTTTGTTTGTTTGTTTGTTTACGATTTATGTTTATGGGTATTTTGCCTGCATGCATATATGTGTTCCATGGATCTTCTAGAACTGGAGTTACAGACAGTTGTGAGCTGCCATGTGGGTGCTGGGAATTGAACCTGGGTCATCTAGAGAGCAGTTGGTGCTCCCAACTGAGCCACTTCCACAGCCCCAAGTCAGTAAGTAGTTCTTTAGCAGAAGCTGTGAAATATATCTCCAAACAGGAACACTTGACCAAGGACCACACTTCACGTGCATGTAAAAGGCTGAGAATTCCCACAAAGAGGTGCATAGCATCGATCCCCATGTAGCAGGCCATATGCTAGCGTAAACAGCTGAGCAAAGCTGTGCAGGAATCCCATCCAGGTACTCATTATAAAGGTTTCCTCATGTTGTTCAGTCTCAGAGTAAATTGACTTTACGAACCATTAGGGAATCCATTATTTAGTAATGTCCTAAAATAAAACTACGTCTTACAAACAAAACTGTATTAATAAACCACAATACCAAATTTGTGACAGCCTAGAAACAGGAACTAAGAAAAGAAAAACTAATGCTTCAGAGATTAAGAAGCAGTTACGTAGTTCACCATTCCTGAGGCAGAACTTCTAGGACTGTACTGCAGTAGAGAACTTGAGCTGAGTGCAAGCAACCAAGAGAGTATGCATGCATCCATTTCTCTGTACCCCTGACTGTGGGTGTGACACATGCATCCATTTCTCTGCACCCCTGACTGTGGGTGAGACACATGCATCCATTTCTCTGCACCCCTAACTATGGGTGTGATGTGATGCATTGGTTTGGATATGAGATGACCAGCTGTTATGAGGTTTTGCTGCCTTGACTTTTCTGCTGTTTTGTGTATTATAACTTGGAACTGTGAGCTAAAGTAGACCTTTCTCCCCTGTGTTGCCTTCTCTTGGACTATTTTATCATAGCAGCAGAAAAGAAATTAGGACACTTTCCAACATGGTTTGCAACCTGAAAATCACAGGCACTTGCTTACAGTCATCCTAAAAATGGTACCGTCAGCCAAGAAAGCCTTCCTTGCTGGAGAGATGGCTCAGAGGTGAAGAGCACTGACTGCTCTTCCAGAGGTCCTGAGTTCAATTCCCAGCAATCACATGGTGACTCACAACCATCTATAATGAGATCACGTATGCCTTCTGGCCTGCAGGCATACGTGCTGGCAGAACATATAATAAATAAATCTTAAAAAAAAAAAAAAAAGAAAAAGAAAAACAAAAAACCCACCAAACAAAAAAAGTTCTAGATGGAACTCTGGCTTTGCTGTGTTACTAGTTAAACCTTGAAGAACTGGCTTCCCCAATACTGGGAGGGCTTATGTAGCAGGCGTGTATCTGGGGGAAGATGCAGCCCACAATTTCTAGTCCCACCAAAGGGGAGAAAACCAACTATTCTGTCAGGCTTTGTATCATGAAACCAAATCCATTTAATAGTAAATTCTTGCTGTAGTAATCAGCTTTGTATATAGTGTCATAGCCTCAGACTTTGGGAAATGTCACTTCTCTAAGACATAGATGTATGTGAAAGTAACTGTCTGTGTTACCTTACACTGGGAAAGAGCCAGCCCACTAGAGATATCTCCAAGACCTTTGGAGAGGTATGAGAACTGAAATATAAACATGTAATCAGTGATTTGATACTGTAAGAGGCCAGTACACAGACAATCTAGATATGGTATCACTCATCTTTAATCCCAGCACTTAGGAGGCAGAGGCACAGGCAGGCCTCTGTGAGTTCAAGGCCAGCTTGATCTATATGATGAATTCCAGGACAACAGTATATAGAAGTCCATATATTTTGAGGTTTTTTGTTTTTTGTTTTTTTTCTTTTTCACAGCATCAAAGAAACATGAAGCTGCAAAAGAAGTGTTTGTAAAAATCCCTCAAGATTCCATTGCAGAAATCTATAATCAGTGGGAGGAGCAAGGCATGGAGAGCCCACTTCCTGCTGAAGATGACAATGCTATCCGAGAGCATTTGTGTATCAGAGCCTATCTGGTGAGACTGAACAGAGAATTAGTCTTTGTGATTTTCCCGATTCACTCTTGGAACTTGACTACGTGTATAATTTTTCATTTTTAATTGTGTGTAGGTGTGTGCTAGTGGGGATGTGCATGTGAGTACAGGGGCCTGTGGAGGCCAGGGGCATCCGAATCCCTGGAGCTGGAGTCACAGATACTTGTGAGCTGCCATGTGGGTGCTCTTAACCCCTGCTGAACCATCTTTCCAGCACTTGAACTTTTTCCAAAAGTGATGATGATTCATCTAAGTTCCCCTGTGATGCAGGGCTGACTAACTTACAGGATTGATGCCATGACCTTGTCGTTGACATGTGTCTGTCCATTGCTGATTAGGCAGGAATAGACGTGTGTGGTGCCTGGAACTTTTTCTTTCCTTTCTTTTTTATTTTTAAAGATTTATTTATTTATGTATATAGTGTTCTGCCTGCATGTATACTACACACCAAAAGAGGGGGCACCAGATCTCATTACAGAGAATTGTGAGACGCCATGTGGTTGCTGGGAATTGAACTCATGACCTCTCAGTGCTCTTAACCTCTGAGCCATCTCTCCAGCCACCCTGGAACTTTAAGATTGTGTGTGTGTGTGTGTGTGTGTGTATCAACTTTAGTGCTTCTGCTCTTGGCAACGACTTAAAAAAAAAAAAAAGACTAAATGTTCCATATGTATTAGAGTAAATTAACATCATACTCAGTCAGGGTTTATTCAGCAAATAAGTGATTGCTGTGGACATGTAGTAGGGCTAAGTTTGAGGATAGAATTTTGTCTTTGACTATAAAAGCCAAGAGACTAATCAAGAAGAGAAGTAGACACGCCTGCCTCATAGTGACTGGTGGCAAGATACACACACATGAGCACAGTGCTGGGAAACAACACAAAACACCTGGTCAGTATCGGTTGCTTCATAGAACATTCCCTTACTTGGATTTTTTTTTTTTTTTTTTTTTTTTTTTTTTTTAAAATTTTTTTTTTTTTTTATTTTTTTTTTTTTTTTAAAATTTTTTTTTTTTTTTATTTTTTTTTTTTTTTTAAGATTTATTTATTATGTATACAGTGTTCTGTCTGCATGTGTCCCTACAGGCCAAAAGGGGGCACCAGATCTCATTAGGGATGGTTGTGAGCCATCATGTGGTTGCTGGGAATTGAACTCAGGACCTCTGGAAGAACAGTCGGTGGTGCTCTTCACCGCTGAGCCATCTCTCCAGCCCCTGGAATTTTTGAGTAAGAATTATTTCTAAGAACTAGCACTTTTAAATACCTCTTGAGCAATAAAAGTATGAAAACTTTCTATAGTCTCAACAATACTTGGGAAGCTGAGCCAGGAGGATTGTCATGACTATGAGGCCAGTCTGGGCTTCATGTGAGTTCCACACTGACCTGGTTTTAAAGAAGACCCTGTCTCAAAAACAAAATGTAAAATCACGCGTTTCGTTTTGTTTAACTTGGTGTTTAGGAAGCCCATGAGACCTTCAATGAGTGGTTTAAGCATATGAATTCAGCTCCACAAAAACCTGCATTGATATCTCAACCAACTTTTACAGAGAAAGTGGCTTTTGAACACAAAGAAAAGAAATATGAAGTAAGTTAATGTGAGTCTGAGATGAGCCTCTTTAATCTTAAAAAATTGAATGTATTTTGAGGGGTCATTTTTTTTTTAAGCATTTATGTTCTGGTTGGAATGGGATTTTCCTGTTACATATTCTGCTTTGAACCGTGTTCATTTTTCTGTAGGTAATCTTGAGAAATGCTGCTTGGGCATGGTGGCACATGCCTTTAATCCCAGGACTTGGGAGTCAGAGCCAGAGCTATACATAGTGAGATCCTTTCTCAGAAAAACAAAATAAGAAGGAAGGAAGAAATGCCTTTAGATATTAGTATTCATTTACTAAACTAATATTTTAGTATTTCATCTATCTGCTATTCATTAATAGTTTTTCTTTATATACATGTCTTGCTAAATTATCAACTCTTATGGCTGATGATCTTGTTGCTGGGCAGCGGTGGTGCACACCTTTAATCCCAGCACTCGGGAGGCAGAGGCAGGTGGATCTCTGAGTTCAAGGCAGCCTGATGTACAGAGCAAGTTCCAGGACATCCAGGGCTACACAGAGAAACCCTGTGTCAAAAGGACAAAATAAGAGGACTTTTATTGGGTCCATCACAGCTGCTTGTGTTTGTTCTGCAGATGGACTACAGTATTTGGAAAGGACATTTAGATGCCCTCACTGCTGACGTAAAGGAGAAAATGTACAACGTCCTGTTGTTTGTTGATGGAGGATGGATGGTAGATGTCAGAGAGGTAAGTTATGTGTTTTGTTTATAGGTTTAAAAATAAGATTAACAAACTGGTGAGGTGGCTCAGCCAGTAAAGGCACTGCTACCAAGCCTGGTGGCATAGTTCAATCCTCAGGGTTCAAATGGTGGAGAGAAACAACTTCTGCCAGTTGTCCTTTGACCTCCACATGCAGACAGACCCACATGTGGGTACCCTTACACATACATGTAAACACACACAAGTAAATTAATTTGATGAATATCTTATTTAATGTGTATGAGTGTTTTGCCTGCATGTATGTCTGTGCACCATGTGTGTGTGCCTGGTGCCCATGGAAGCTAGAAAAGGGCATCTAATCCCCTGAAACTAGAGTTAGAGAATGGATATGAGTAGCCGCCTGGGGCTGGGAGTCCACCTCAGGACCTCTGGAAAAGCAGCATGTACTCTTAACCACTGAGCCATCTCTCCAGCCCCTTTCTTAGAAAATTTTTTAAAAAGCCAACAACAGTAACAAGAACCATATACACTGTATCTTCTAATGTTCCTTCTTAAATAAGAACATCTAAGGTTTTATGTAAAGTTAGTAGTTATAATTTCCCTGCCACCCCCCACTCCCATGTTTTAAGCTTAACTGAAAATGCTACCTTGGATTAGGAGTGTTTCATTCTTTTTTGGGTAGGGGGAAGGTTCCAGGCAGGGTTTGTTTCTCTGTGGCTTTGGAGGCTATCCTGGAAGTAGCTCTTGTAGACCCCCTGACTGCTGGTTTAAAGATAAATTCTATCAAACCTGAGTCCAAGCTTTGATGTGTGTAACTTAACTTAGAAATAGGTGAGTCTAGTACTATGAGACATAAAGCAGTGGCATCCCTGTGAGCTACCCACTTAGATGACTCAGCATGTTCTTCCTTAAATACTACAGAGTAACAATGAGCTGCAAAAGCCAAGGTGGCTTATGCCTGCTACCCCAACATTTGGGGGGCTGAAGCAAGAGGATTATGGGTCAAGGGCACTCTAAACTGTTCCTCCCCACAAGAGAAGTAAGTGCAGAAGGAAAGCACAGCAGATTTTGTTGTGAGTCCAGATGAAGAGATCACTCTGGCTGTGGGTAGCACTGTGCTGGAGCACTTGCTTGGCATGATAGAGCCCTGACTGGACCCACAGCACATCAGTACAGGAAAACAAGGTTGGCATGGTGGAGCCCTGGTCTGGACCCACAGCACATCAGTTAAGGTCAGTTAAGGAGAAACAAGGTTGCTTTTACCTGGAAGGGGTCTGGACAGGATGCTTAAGGGAGTGTTGAACAAGTAGTGGAAGTGCTATGAGATGAGGAAGACACAGATAAGGCAGTGTTAAGAAGGGAGAGGTAATGAGGCCGGCATTAGTTACTTTTCTTGGTAGTATTTCTGGTGTCTTTTCTTCTGCCATCCTTCATAACCTCTTGTGTTTATAGTTTCCTTATTTTTTTAATTATGTAAGAAAATGATCCATTTCCTCTCCTTGCTCACCCTTCCTGCCACCTGATTCTTGTTGCTAGCTGTGTCTTCATTGTCAGGTTGGTATGCTGTATTAGACCACAGGACCACCTGCAGATAATGTACATGCCCACCTAATGGTATTTACTCTCGTTCCTTTAGTGTGGTGCCAAATGCCTACTAAGAACCAGCTTAGGAGAGGATGGTTTGTTTGGGTTTGGGCTGTGAGGGTTACAGTCTTTGGCAGCAGGAGTGAGAGGCAGCTGGTATGTCTGCAGTTAGGAAGGAAGGAATGTGGTCAGGCTATGAAACCTCAAGCTCTCTCACTCACCCTATTACCCACTCTAAGCCTCCCCCTCCCTAAAGCTTCCAGAACATTCCTAAACAGCTCCACCCTCTGGGGACCCAGTACTCAAACACTTGAAACCTATGAGCGACATTTCACACTTAAACCACAGCAAGGCCTGACCCTGACCATGATGGAATGCTAACTCCTGCGTCTTGGATAATTGGGATGTCATTTTGAACATTACTTGGTTCTGCAAGTCATATGCACTGGGGTCTTTTCCTCCTCCACCCTTCATATCACATTTATTGCTTTTTCTGTAATTAGTTGCTACATTTCCCCACTTCTCTAGCTTCTTTTCTTACAAGAGTGAATATTAACAGGGACAGGGCTAGGATAGGGCCTCTGATTGATGCTTTTACAGATAATGGGATTTTCAGGGTCACTCCTGAGTTGTTTGCTTATTCATGGTATTGGGATTGAGGCCAGGCCTCGCATATGCTAGGCAAGCGTGGTACCGCTGAACCCTCAGTGTACTTTTTGTTTGTTTTGTTTTCTAGACAGGGTTTCTCTGTGGCTTTGGAGGCCTTCCTGGAGCTAGCTCTTGTAGACCAGGCTGGTCTCGAACTCACAGAGATCCACCTGCCTCTGCCTTCCGAGTGCTGGAATTAAAGGCGTGCGCCACCAACGCCTGGCCTCAGTGTACGTCTTAATCCTAAAGTTCGTAATAAAACTCCCCAGCATAATTTTAAGTGTTCAGTAGGTTTCTTAGGCCAAACCTTTCTTTTCTGATTCAGGCTTGTGTTGAAGTAAGATCCGAATATGGTAAAATACCAAAACTTGAGGATTATATTGATATATCAATATCTTTTTAATTTTGATTATTGGTTAATTTTAGATTAGATAATAAAAGCTATAAAATAGTCTGGAATCTCTTGAGAGATGGAAAGTAATAAATGATTATTTTACAAATGCTGAGAGGTGGGTCAGCAGTTAAGGGCATTGCCCTTCCTTCCAGAAGACCAAGCCCCTGGTCTGTAAGTTTTCTTCAGATCACCTATGCCCACTTTAAAGCTATCTAAACAGTTGTTATACAGTATCGCTTAGCAAATAATGATAAAGTATTCGTGCTTAGTACTCTCCATTTGTTGTTGGCTAAATCTATTGGTTCCTAATGTGACTGACTTTTTGGTTTTGGTGGTGGTGGGTGGTTTATATTTTTGAGACAGGGTCTCAGTAGCAGCCTAGCACACTGTATAGATCAGGCTTGCTCTGAATTTGAACTTACCCCCTCCCCTCCTGAGTGCTGGGGTTTGGGGTGTCAGGTGTGACCACTGGACCTTGCTGTAGTTGACTTTTCTGTTTGTAAGGGTATGTCACTTACAGTTGTTCAAATGATGACTTGATGCCTGTCTGTAGGATGCTGAGGAAGACCCTGAAAGAACACATCAGATGGTTTTACTAAGAAAGCTCTGTCTGCCCATGCTGTGTTTCCTGCTTCATACTATATTGCATAGCACAGAGCAGTACCAGGAGTGCCTGCAGTTGGCTGACATGGTGTCCTCTGAGCGCCACAAACTGTACCTGGTGAGTTCTGAACCATTTGCAGTTTTAAGTTTTAACATTGGATAATATTTGTGAATAATTGTTTACATTTTTTTAGTTCTTCCATTTTCTGAAAATAATGTTACAATTTTAGTGTACTTTTGAAAAAACTTGTCTCTGTGAGTGAATGGAAGTATATAGTCTGCCCTGAAAATCAGCACGTCTCTGAGGCACATAGATCTTAAGATTACTTTTTAAAAAGTTGATCGTCTAACTTTTTTTTTTTTTTTTTTTTTTAATATCAGGTATTTTCTAAGGAAGAACTAAGGAAACTGCTGCAGAAGTTAAGGGAATCCTCTCTGATGCTTCTAGACCAGGGGCTTGACCCGCTCGGATATGACGTTCAGTCATAACTCATCACCTCTGATGCCCCGGACACGGGGTTGTTTGGTTTTGACCAAATATACATATTTGTAATTACTGATTTTTTTTTCCTTTGGCATTTTTTGGGGAAACTGTAAAATTTAAGCTTTTGAATTTTGTATTATATCAGTATTTCTTTAAGTATTTTTTAATGAAATTATACAAAATAAATTTTTTGTTGTATAAATGCTAGTTTTCTCTTATGTAATAGAATAAACAAATTAAATGTTATATTATTCTTTTTGCTGTAAGTTTCTGACATTAAAATTTAAAGAGAATAGAGAATAAAAATAGATTCATTTTCCTTTTGGTTTTTCGAGACAGGGTTTATCTGTATTGCTTTGGAGACTGCCCTGGAACTCGCTCTGTAGACCAGGCTGGCCTCAAACTCACAGAGATCGCCTGTCCCTGCCTCCCAAGTACTGGGATTAAAGGTATTCGCCACCACCGCCCTGCAAGAATAGATTCATTTTCAAGACAGGTACGTAATTTCTCATTTCTCATAAAATTTAATATTTTTCTGAATAGTAAAGATGAATCTAGCAAGAGTATTTTCAAATGGAGCTGGAGAGATGGCTCAGCAGTTAAGAGCACTGGCTGTTCATCCAGAGGACCAAGATTCATTTCCCAGTATACATACGGTGGCTCACAAACCATCTGTAATTCCAGTTCCAGAAGATCTAATGCCCTCTTTTGGCCTCTGTGAGCGTCAGGCACAATGATAAACAACCACATAGAAATAAAAATGAGCCAAGTACCCACATGGACCAAGAACAGTCACATATAACTCCATCTTCAGATGATCTGACCCACTTATTTGCACAAACCCACACAAAATACACATGATTAATTTTTTTTTTTTTTTTTAAGATTTTACTTATTATGTATGCTGTCTTCGGCCTACACACCAGCAGAGGGCACCAGATCACACTCAAGGTGGTTGTGAGCCACCATGTGGTTGCTGGAATTAAACTCAGGACCTCTGGAAGAACAGTCAGTGCTCTTAACCCCTGAGCTATCTTTCCCCGCCCCCCTTTTTTTTTTAATTGTAGAACGAGGTTATATAGCAGTATTGTTGAACCAATACTAGTTTTCCTATGTGTGGTCATTGGAGTTGTGACAATGTAGGGAAGTGCTCTCCCTCATCCTTAGGAGGTGCACACTGAAATATTTATGGTTGAAAGTCATAAAATCTGGGCTGGAGAGATGGCTCAGAGGTTAAGAGCACTGACTGCTCTTCCAGAGGTCCTGAGTTCAATTCCCAGCAACCACATGGTGGCTCACAACCATCCATTATGAGATCTGGTGCCCTCTTCTGGTGTGCAGATATACATGGAAGCAGAACGTTGTATACATAATAAATAAATAAAATCTTTAAAAAAAAGTCATAAAATCTGTGCTTTATGTTGAAATAGTTTAGCTTTAAAATTAAAGTCTACACAGTTAAAGCAACGGAGTAAAATAGGAACTGTCTAAAGGGCCGAGGAGTGTTTATCATACTAATCTTTCAACTTCCCTTTACATTTAATTTTTTTTCAAGATAAAAAGGTTTTTACATAAGCCGGGCGTTGGTAGTGCATGCCTTTAATCCCAGCACTCTGGAGGTAGAGGCAGGTGGATCTCTGTGAGTTCGAGATCAGCCTGGCCTACAAGAGCTAGTTCCAGGACAGCCTCCAAAGCCACAGAGAAACCCTGTCTCGAAGGAAAAAAAAAAAAAAGGTTTTACATGGTGTTCAAAAATCCATAGCAGAACTGAGTATGCATGTGGATAATAAAAGAACTTTCTGACTTTATCCCAGACAACAGGGATTGTAGTGCATGATGTGAAATCCACAAAGAATCAGTAAAAGCTGAGAAAAAGAAAAAAAACTGAGTATCGTAATTTTAAAAAGTGGTACGCCGACAGAGCTTGGGTAGAGGGGTGTTTTATTGGGGGAAAGTGAATGGGAAAGGGGTAGGGGATGCCGGCCTCTGGGGACAAGAGGCGGGAAGGGAGAGGCCGAGAAAAAGAAAAATGGGAGGTGGGCAGGGCCCTTTTAAAAGGGAACGTAGTTGCAAGGCAGTGATGGCTCATGCCTTCAATCCCAGCACTCGAAAGCAGAGGCAGGTGGATCTCAGTGAGTTTGAAGACAGCCAGACCTACACAGAGAAACCCTCTCTAGAAAAATTAAAGGAAAAAAAAAAAAAAAAAGGAACTTAGTGAAAGTGCACAGGAGGTGCTCTTAGTGGCTGCAGCTGACGACGTATCCTGTCAGAGCCTCAAGGACGCCAGTGCAGGTGCCCGAATACTAACAAATACAAATTTTCATTTCCAAATAATAATCCTCTCCACCTCCAAAATTTTGAAGTTGAGCTTCATATTTGCTACTATAATGAGCCTCTTAGGAGTGCAAATATCTTGGCCATACAGAAAAATGTACTTGCTTCTTAGGTTTACACAGAATTTGTGGGTGAAAGATGTATCTGTGGTTTGAAGTTTTTCGGGTCAAGCAAGCCAAAATGTTTTCAAATCTGAGTATACGACAGCTATACTGTCTTCTCCACTCTTCCATATATTTAGACCTTTAAAGCTATTTAAAAATACACTTTCACTAAGTAATGCCGGTCTGCAGAGGATAAAACTGTTCAGCACCCGTGGAGTGTAAAATTGGCGAGGAGTCTGCGCCGCAGGAGACGTTGACAGGGAAGTCGGGT